GGGGAAGCTTTAAAATATTCTGATGGCTCACGCCTGGAGATTCTTATTTCATTGTTCTGGGGCTCATCCTTAATACTAGGGTGTTTAAAGCTCCCCAGGTGATTCTCACATGTAGAGGGATGTTGTGAACCATAGAAGGGTGGAGGCAGTGAGAGTCCATTTTTCAATCATTTTTTTTCCTATGAATTCTATTTGCAATGGTTTTCTTAGTGCAACATCTTGCAGATACTTAGTTGATACTATTGTACAAGAGCCTAAATTATGAAAAGAATTCCGTTAGCTTTTCTGACAGATGTTCTGTTGAAACTATTTGTCAGAGGTTAGGTCTAATATTCTGAGGTTCTTCCAGGTAAGTGTACCCAGTCTGCTTCAAGACTATGCGCTGTTCGTGAAGAGGAAAGAATGGTTAGCAAGTGAATAGCTTCTGTTTCTGTCCAGTCCCCGTGCCACTTGTTACGTCTGATTGGGAACAGCTGATCACAGGTGTCAGCTCTCAGCCTGGCCTCCCCTCCGGTGCATTATCCTCTGCTCTCAACCGCTGATGTCGTCATGGTTCTGGTTGAAGGCTTGGACTCACCTCAGTTCATGAGCTAATCGGAATGAAGTATGTCAGGAGCTTTGGCTGCTCTAATTTATACTTGGCCACATTTCAAAGCTTTCAGTTAGTAATCCAAGAGTTATTATTCATAACCTGTGGTCATCATTAATATTTCATATTGATACTATAAAGCCAAACCCTTGTAAGTTTCCTACTGCCATTCATTTTCCACAAAATTCTTTTGCTCCCTAGTAGATCAGTTTTTCAGAGCAATAGATAAGACCCAGAGTCTAAAGCCCCCTGTGCCTTCTTCAGTTGACTCAGTTTGCAAGAACTCACCCTGCCCTGTGACCTGGCTCCTTGGAGGAGGGCACAGCTAGGGGCCCCAGCCAACACTTGAGGTAAGTTCTGTCTTCACCCCCTCTCCTGGGATCAGCTCCCACAGCCTGGCTCCTGAGTGTTGCCCACTGTCTGGACTCCTCAGCACTGTGGTAAAACCTACAGATGTCTGAAGTCACAGCTGGTCTTGGTTGCCCCGTTGGCTCCTGCTTTATACAACCTCGTTGTCACCATTTACCATTTCCAGCGTGTCACATCTCTTCTGTCCCCTGACCCCTTGCTCTAGGGAAGTGTTTTTATGGAGTCCAAGCTCATACTGCTCACCACATGACAGGCCAACATAGAGAGAGGGGAGGTGTTGGGGGCAGGGAATAACGATTTTATTTGCAAAGCCACCAGACCAGTGAACTAGTGTCCTAAAGAATCTTACTCAAGTTAGAATTCAGGCTTCTTTTATACTGAAAGTGGTGGGGGTGTGGCTGGTTGTTGTGAACTTCTTGGTGCCCGCCAGACCCTGCGGGTGGTGTGATAATCCTTGGTTCTTGCAGCTTGTCCAGGTAGATCTGGTCAGGATGTTCCTATGAAGACAAATGTTATTCTTGTTCTGCAACTTTTTATCTCTATGTGAATGAAAAGTGTTATATCTTTAAAGGTCAAGCCTCGGAGGCAGAGCCTTGAGAATGGGCTGTCATGTATGTTTCAGGCTCTGGGCAACATTTTTTTACAACGGTGCAGAGCCAGTGAGATGAAACACAGGCAGCAGAGCACAAAGGTTAGAGCTAAAGGAATAGATCCAATATGGAGTCAGGTTTGTTCTTCTCTGTTACGGTGTATCTCATTACTCGGTGATTCTCAACCATTTTGATGATTTTTGGCATTTCCTTGTAACATCTGTACTATTATTTGCTTAATATTTTTCCTTACATTACCTTGCCTTAAAACAAATACAAAATTGTTTGCTTTATTTTGGCAAAAATATCCTGAAGTCATAGGTTTGGTATGTTATTTGTATCTTTCCTTATTACACATTAAAATAAATCCATAACTATCAACATACAGTATTTGTGGACTATCTAGAATCATCTTGTAACCCAGAGCACCCTTGTACCACCTTTTGGGAAATGCTTATTACCTCAGGGCTTTGCCCTAAGTCTGTTCACTCCCATCCCTGCCCTTTCTACTCATCCTGCAGGGATTCCTTGGGTCCAATGTTGGGACATAAATACTTAGAAGTAATAAAACTCACTACTCCGAGTATTACCAACCCAAACTTGGGTCTGCCTGCCTGTGCAGTAAAGTTATCTACTGACACTGGGTTGTGGTGAAGGAAAGTGTAGCATTTATTGCAGGATGCCAAGCAAGGAGTCCAGGTAGCTAGTGCTCAAAACACCTCAACTCCCCAGTGGGTTTCAGGAAAGCATCCTTAAAGCATCCTTGTACAGTTCTCTGATTGGTTGATGGCCAGGTAACAGGGATGTGTCACAGGAGTTAATAGTATCAATCCTTAGGTGCCAGTCAGCCTGGGCACTACGGCTCATGGTCATCAAGTAGTTGATGTCTTCCATTTGGTGGGGGATTTAGCATCTGAAACAACCCAGGAAATGTGCATCAGATACTGTTATCTGGGCGCTTCAGAGAGTAGCTACAGCAGAGGATATGGGGGAGGGGTCTGTGCTGGGAAGTCCCCACAGGGTCCTGCTCGGTTTCACAAGTACAATACGGGCTCTGCCAAGTACACCACTTGTTCAGTACGGATGGGATTTCACTGATGAATAATAACTATAATCAAAGCTAATACAATGCGGTGGTTAAAACCATGGACTCTGGAAATGACCTGAATTCATATCCCGGCTCTGCCACTTACTGTGTAAATCACTTCACCTCTCTCAGGTAGCCCAGAGGACTGCCCCGAAGATGAAATAAATTAATACGTGTTCAGGGCCTAGAACAGTGTCCGGCTCACATAACTGCTATGTAAATGTTAGGTACGGTTAGAAGCTGTGAGTTTTGGCAGTGAAAGTCAAAAGAAAAAAATTGTCCATGAGTGTACTTGAGATCTTTTCCTTTGAGAAAAAGTTGGCTAGGGAATAGAAATGCTCTGATATTTATTGACTCTTGTGGCCAGTCCTGCATGTACTTACTACATCAGGGTATTAGGGCTGTATGAACCAGGTGAGCAATATGTACCCCTCAATGATTTAAAATGGCATCTGACCTACTGCAATTTAGTTGTACAAATCAGGTATTCTAGGCGAATTTGAGGACAATCCTCCCCTTCCATCCATCCTCAAAAATTTATTTTTGTAGTTTTTATTTGAAAACCTAATATTTTCACTAAGTTTTGGGAAGTGTGCATGCATGTGCACACATGTACACTGTTTTGAAGAGGCTTTCTTTTATAGCAAATAGTTTTTTTCCTAAAATAAAGTACAGAACATAAATACACTAATATGTTTATTCTATTATAACAAGTTTCCCAAGTTATAATATGAACAATATTTTTTCCTATTTTTTTTGAAATGACACAGGCATCAGCTACATTACCTAAAAATGTCTTTATTTTTTTAAAGCTTTTTTTATTGAGTTATAATCACTTTACAACATTGTGTCAAATTCCAGTGTAGA